GATACTGCATGAATTATGAGCCAGCCCAAATTGCTGGTTGAATTGTCTCACTAGCTTTGCAAAATCCACACTTCATGTTTCACATCACAGTTACATGCATCTAATTGCTAAGTTAGTCTGTTGGCATAGTGACATGTATGAGCGACTCCTTCACACCTGCCTGCAAATATTGAGCAATTATGTTCATGTTTTGAATAATACGTATGCTTTTGCTCACAACAATAGTGGGTGGGATAGTTTATTAGAATAACCAAATGGTCAATTAATCATGGCACTGGAATAAATGTTTAATCCAATAAAATAACTATAGGTTTACTGGAGCAGCCCATTTTACAGGAAGATTTTCACTACTCAGACTTCTTTATACTATGTAAAGTTTGAAATGTTTTGCCTGGAACATTGCTGGAATTGTGAGCAATCGCACAACCTACGCAATGGGACATCTGGCAGCTGGATGAATAATGGGATGAGCTCTCTACTTTGCTAAGCATATAGGTTTAAGGATTGAGCTCTAAACAGAGGGAGAACCAAGATGGAGCGTAAATTTGAGTAGGTGAACTCAATGTTGAATCAAGTACAGAAACAAAGATTGGATTGAGAGACAGACAGACAAAAAGAAAAAGAAGCACAAAGGCAAATCAAGAAAAATGTAAAAATTTAAACTTAGTACGTTTTAATGTTTCCTTAAGTAGTTCAGAACCCAGTGGCATGAAAACTGCATAGTTAGAATTATTTAAATTTTGGAAGGGAGGTTAATTGGCAATTATTAACAATTGGCAAAGGATTAATGGGTTATGGGGAGGAGGCAGGAAAGTGGAGTTGAGGCCGAGATGAGATTAGCTGTGATTGTATTAAATGACAGAGCAGGCTCGAGGGGCTGAATTTGTCCATTCCAGCCGTTAGTTCTTATGTTCTTATTGTAAAAGCTGACTTCTCCTATTAATTGCAAGATGACTTTCTGTGTGAGTTTAATGGACAATTAATTTGCTAACTTAGCAATTGGATGCAAGGAGCTGTGATGTGAAACCTGAAGTGTGGATTTTGCAAAGCTAGTGAGACAATTCAACCAGCAATTTGGGCTGGCTCATAATTAATCCAGTATCTCTTAGGTTTCTAACCTAATTCCCCATCAATACTGTCATGAAGTGCATCATTAATGCTTTAACATAGAATAAAACTGAAGAAGGGTCACTGGAATTGAAACATTATTGCTGTTTTCTCTCCAAGAATTGGTCCAGGAATTGAAACGTTATTGCTGTTTTTTTCTCCAAGCTGCTGTCTGACCTGTTGTGTTTCTCCAACAATTCATAATTACTGCTCGAAGTATGTGCTTTGTTCACACGCTGGTATTATTTCAAGGACTAAATCCCAGCATTTCCAGCAAGGTGGCTTGATCCCAATAGACCATGGGTTGGAAATAGATCTATAATATTGCTGCTAGGATCCACAGTCCATAATTCATCTTTAACTTTTGCATGAAGTGCATAGGATATGAGCATCGCTGGCTGAGTCAGCATTTATTGTCCATTCCTACTTGCCGTGGAAGAGGTGGTGATGAGCTGCCTTCCTTAACCATCGCAGTTCATTGTGGTCAATGTGTTTTGGGAGGGAGTTCAGATTTTGACCCAGCAACGCTGAAGCAAAACTAATATATTTCCAAGTCAGGATAGGGAGTGGCTTAGAAGAGAACCTGCAGTTGGTGGTATTCCCATGTATCTGCTGCCCTTGTCCTTTTGGTTGATAGTGGTCATGGGTTTGGAGTGTGATGTCTAAGGAGCATTGGTGAATTTTTGTAATGCACCTATGGATGGTATGCTGTGCTGATGCTGTGTGCCAGTGGTGGAGGAAGTGTATGTTTGTCGATCTGATGCCAATCAAATGGGCTGCTTTGTCCTAAATGGCAACAAAGGTTCTTGAGTGTTGTTGGAGGGGTGATAATATTCCCTGTATATTTCAATCATACAAGTATCTTTCCGTTACCTTCCTTTGCTGAAAGTGATGGTTTTCTAGTGCTTTCTAGTGCTGCATTCAACAAACAGCATATCACAGTCAATAGTAATTCTGCTGCCCGACTTTGAAGTGCAGTCGTGGTATAGTGGTAATGTCACTGAACTGTAATCCAGAGCTCTGGGTTAAAGTGCTGGAGGCTTGGTTTCAAGGTCCACTCAAATAATTCCACAGGGGCTGGTCTCCCATCATCAACTCACCCTTTATTTACACATGAATAATCCTTGACTTCAGTACTGCCTCATTCAGAGTCAGGTACCAAAGTCAAGGATGTTCATGTGTAAATAAACAGTGAGTTGGTGATGGGAGACTAGCCTCTGTGGATTTATTTCAGTGCTGATGAGAGTTAGATCATAGTGTGCCAACAAGTTAGAGGATGATAGCTGTTTCTTTACTTCATTGAAAGCTAAGGCTTGTCTATGTACCATTTCCAAGGTTGACCCTTTCTTAAGGGTTGATGCAAAGGTGTCAGGATGGATGCCAGGTTATATATGAACTTTCCATAATAATAATGACCTAAGCTCCTGGACAGACATGGGAACCAGGGCACCTTTGATCGTCCTCACTTTACCTTCCAATGGGTGTAACCTGGTCATGTTGACTCAGTAGCCCAAATAGGTCACTTGCAGGGCTTGGGATGCATGTTTTTCCCTTCTTAAGAATTCACTGGCTTTAGAAAAATGTCCTGGGATTATTTCCTTATTGTTTCTTGTTAGTTTTCCCTATTGTTATTAGGACATCATCTAGGTAAATGGCAACCTGATGTAAACCTTGCAAAATGTGCTTCATCATCCGCTAAAAAATTGAGCAGGTTGACGATGCCCCACATGATAGTCTCACATGTTGGTGTACCCACATGGTAGATGGTGAAATTTAGGTTCAATTAAAAAAAAAACGGATTAATGGCTAGCCTAGTGATGTCCACTTAACTACTGCTGATGGTTAGGGAAAACAGGTCTGGTTCACATCCTTCAGAAATGTTTATCCGCAACCCTTATGTGGTCTGGCCTACATGGGACTCCAGACCAACAGCAATGCAGTTGATTTCTGAAATGACCTAGTTAAGCAATTCAGTTCCAGGGCAAAAGAGGATGGGCAATAAAGGCTGGTCTCGCCAGTGATGGCCATGTCTTATGAATACATTTTAAAAACCGTCCATGTACTTTTACTTTCCATCATATTGCCATTGGATAGTAATCAAGTATGGGACTAAACTGAAATTTCAATAAAATATTGTGCATGGGACACAGATTAATTTTAACCCACCCAGATAAGATCACCAGCAACATCCTCACTGGTCTAAGTACCAAAATATATTAAAACATAGAACAGTACAGCACAGTGCAGGCCCTTTGGCCCATGATGTTGTACCGACTTATTATCCTACTCTAAGATCAAAAACTTATCCTGCATACCCTTTATTTAAAATCATCCATGTGCCTATCCAAGAGTCACTTAAATGTCCCTAATGTATCTGATTCTACTAACACTGCTGGCAGTGCATTCCATACACCTACCACTCTCTGTGTAAAGAACCTACCTCTGACATCTCCCCTATACCTTCCTCCAATTACCTTAAAATTATGCCCCCTCATGATAGTCATTTCTGCCCTGGGAAAAAGTCTCTGGCTATCCACTCTATCTATGCCTCTCATCATCTTGTGCACCTCTATCAAGTTACATCTCATCCTTCTTCGCTGTAATGAAAAAAGCCCTAGCTCCCTCAGCCTTTCCTCAAAAGACCTGCCCTTCATTCCAGTCAGCACCCTGGTAAATCTCCTCTGCATCCTCTCTAAAGCTTCCACGTCCTTCCTATAATGAGGTGACCAGAACTGAACATAATATTCCAAGTGTGGTCTAACCAGGATTTATAGACCTGCAGCATAACCTTGCGGCTCTTAAACTCAATCCCCCTGCCAATGAAAGCCAACACACCATATGCCTTTTTAACAACCCTATCAACTTGGGTGGCAACTTTGAGGGATCTATGAATGTGGACCCCAAGATCCCTCTGTTCCTCCACACTGCCAAGAATCCTGCCATTAACCCTGTAATCTGTATTCAAATTTGACCTTCCAAAATGAATCACTTCACACTTTTCCGGGTTGAATTCTATCTGCCACTTCTTTGCCCAGCTCTGCATCCTGTCAATGTCCCATTGCAATCTACAACAGCCCTCCACACTGTCCACAACTCCACCAACCTTCGTGTCATCGGCAAACTTACTAACCCACCCTTCCACTTCCTCATCCAAGTCATTTATAAAGATATTTTGTTACAAAATGTTGTAGGTGCTAATCAATACATTTTAAAGTATTTTTCTCACTGAATTCTTGTACATCCTTCCTGCCTTCATGAATTTATTGAATGAGTACCAGTGCCTAAAAGTCAAGAATACCCCAACATCCATCACTATTCTGATTTTAACCAGGTCTGAGCTAGAAGAAGCCCAGATTGATTCTATCGCTATTAGATTATAGAGGAGCGAATCTACCCTGCTGACCATTATGCAGCAGCTCATGTTGTAGCTGCATGCAAGTAAGCATTGGGTAATATAAAATCAAAATTACTGTGGTTGCTGGCTGATACCTACGTGAGGATGGTGAATACTTGAAAGGAGCTGCAAACGTATGATAAGTCAATGCATGCTCTTGGGAATCAGATAATTTATAAAGAATAATGGCAGGTATATGTAGGCTCCGAATTCTGCACCTGTATTCCTGCCCTGTGCTATAAAGCTAGGACCTACCCTTGCAATAGCATGGCAAAAAATGCCTCGAATTACAAGAATGATCTATCACTATTTAATAAATTGTGTTGGAGGATTGGCATATTTTACTTTTGTATTCAAAGCCTTAAGATAAATTTATAAGACCATTGCTTTTTAGGATCATTGAAAAGAGTCAGAAAAACATCGTAAACAAGTAACTGTAAATGCTTTTTCTCTTATGCATTTTTGACATGCTTCTCACTTAACGAAAATGTTTATTTAGGATTCTCCAATGACCAAAATGAGTCCCTGGAGGATTAGTCTTCTGGTCCTTGCATTAGTTGTCTACATCATTACTCTGGTTTTGAATGCTCTTGCAGGACGAGGATCACAATCAGGTAAGGCTTACCAAAATCTGATATGGTTCGACCTTACAAAGCTTGAGAACACCTGAGCACATCATCCTGGTCCATCTGAGGTCACTTAAACCCCACATTGATGAATAGAACTTTTAAAAATTGTTCTGGATCAATCTTCTGCTTGATTGCATTCGTTTCTACTTGCAAAAACTTAAGGTTCAAATTGCATTCAGCACCACTTAAGTTAATTAATTCTAAAATATTCATTTTTGTGGTAAACCCAACATTGCCTGAGTTAATTAAGCTTCCTCAGCTCCGTGATGAAGTATCTGGACAAGTTGGACCTAGGACACTACCCTGAGGAAGGCCTACTGCTCTGTTTTGTGATGTGATGGTTGGCCTTCAGCAACCCTTACTGCCTTTGTTTATGCTGGATATGACTCCAACCAATAGAGAGTTCCCACCCCATTCATGTAGATTCCAAATTCATTAGAGCTTCTTGATGCCATACTCTGCAAATGTGGCCTTGAAGTCAAGGGCAATCACTCTCACCTCATCTTTCGAACCCATCCGCTTTGTCTTTGTTTGGATCGAGGCTATATTGAAGTCAGGAGCTGTATAGCCCTGGTGAAACTGAGAGCTAGCAAGCAAGATATTCCTTTGCAAATATCACTTGAGAGCACTGTCAATGACCCCTTATGTTATTTGATTAGATAATTGGATTTCCTCCATTTTGAAGACAGGACATATCAGGCAATTTTCCATGTTGTGAGGTAGAAGCCAGTGTTATAGCTGTTCTGGAACAGTCAGACTACTTGAGACTAGTTATGTCCACATTCTTCCTCAACTGAGGATTCCCCAGCTCCGTTGTCGATAGGGCCCTCAGTCGGGTCCGACCCATCTCCTGCACTTCTGTCTTCACCCCTTCTCTTCCCTCCCGCAACAGCGATAGGGTTTCCCTTATCCTCACCTACCATTCCACCAGCATCCACATCCAGAAGATCATCAGACACCATTTCTACCACCTCCAGCAAGATGCCACCACCAGACACATATTCCCCTCCGCTCCCTTGTCCGCCTTCCGCAGGGACCGTTCCCTCCGGGACACCCTGGTCCACACTTCCTTCACCCCCAACACCTCCCCACAGCCCTACGGCACCTTCCCCTGTAACCGGCGAAGGTGCAACACCTGCGCATTTACCTCCTCCCTCCCCAGAATCCAAGGGCCCAGACATACCTTCCAGGTGAAGCAACACTTCCAAGAATCTAGTCCACTGCATTCGCTGCTCACAATGTGGTCTCCTCTACATTGGGGAAACAAAGCGTAGACTTGGTGACCGCTTCGCAGAACATCTACGTTCTGCTTGCAAAAAAGACCCTGAACTACCTGTTGCCTGCCACTTCAATGCACCACCCTGCTCCCTTGCCAACATCTCTGTCTCCGGCTTGCTACAGTGTTCCAGTGAAGCCTAATGCAAGCTGGAGGAACAACACCTCATTTTCCGCTTGGGGACCCTACAGCCCTCTGGACTCAATATTGAGTTCAATAATTTTAGGGCCTAAACTCTCCCATGTCCCAGCCCCCCACCCCACACACCAGGCCTTGTTACCACATAGCCTGCCACTACACACCCCCTGTTGTTAGTCACTAACAGTCCCCATTAACAACTATTCACCCTCCCAGCCTGATTGTTAGCAACTCATTTGTCTGTCCAACTGTCTTTCTCTCTCTTTGGGCTCTATCCTATCGTTTACTCCCTACCCCACCCACCTCCCTATTTTCTGCATATAAACTGACGTTTTCCCAGCCACCATCAATTCTGAGGAAGGGTCACCGAACCCGAAACATTAACTCTGTTTTCTTCTCCACAGATGCTGCCAGACCTGCTGAGCTTTTCCAGCAACTTTGTTTTTGTTGTTGTGTATGGACTACTAGACTTCAGTATGAAAGCTGGGATGATAACTTTTGCAGTATCCAGTTATTTCATCAGTTCTTGGATATCATGTGGAGTGAACTGAATTGGCTGAAGATTGGCATCTATCTGGTGACATCAGGAGGAGGCCAAGATGGACCATCCACTTAGTACTTCAGGCTAAAGAATTGCAAATGGTTCGGCCTTCTCTTTCTAACTGATGTCCTGAGCTCCCTCATCATTGAGGATGAATCTATTTGTGGAGACTTCGCCTCCAGCAAGTTTTATAATCGTCCACCACCATTCATGACTGGATGTGACAGGACTGCAGAGTTGAGAATTGATCTGTTGATTTGCAAGATTGTTTAGCTTAGCTCTGCATATCGCACACTGTCTCTGCCATTTGGAATATATGTTGACCTGTATTGTAGCTTCAGGTTGACACCTTAGTTCTCAGTGTGTTTGAGTGTGCTTCTGATGTGTCCTCCTACCCTCTTTGTTGAACCAAAGTTGGTCCCTATCCTGTTGGTATCAATAGAGTGGGGGATAGATGGATGATAAGGTTACAGATTGTGGTGGAATGCAATTCTGTTACTTCTGATGGCTTTCAGTGTTCAAGGATATGGTCTTTAGTTGCCCGAACTGACCTGAATTTTATTTAATATGTTGGTGGCTGCAACATGACTGCAGAAATTCTCAGTGTAAGGAGTTTCCAATGTACAGTGGTGATTCCTGTCTATACTCTCTTGGTGAGCTCTAGCTGCCCCACACAGATTGGTGAGGATAAGGTCAAGTGAGTTTTACTCCATGTTTTACTTCTTTCACTACGTGTTGTGGGCTTTGTTTGATTTGATACTGTGAAATATTTTGTAGTCTTGAGTCAATGCTGAGGATTCTTGAGGCTACTCCCTTCTGTTTGTTTTACACTGTGCCACCATTTCCGGTGGATGTGCCATGCCAGTGAGAAAGGGCAGACCCAGGAATAGTGATGCAGGACTCTGGGATATTTGCTGAAAGGTGAAATTCAGTGAGTTAAGACTATGCCAAATAGTGTTGCTTGACTAATCTGTGGGACAGTTCTCCCAATTTTGGCACAGATCCCTGAGTATTCTTAAGGGGAACTCTGCAAGCTGGAGTGGGTTGGCTGTAGAGTCATAGAGTCATACAGTGCAGAAACAGACCCTTTGGTCCAACTAGTCCATGCCAAACATAATTCCAAATTAAACTAGTCCCACCTGCCTGTGCCTGACCCATATCCCTCCAAAACTTTCCTGTTCATGTTCTTATCCAAATGTCTTTTAAATGTTATAATTGTACTCACATTCACCAATTCCTCAGGAAGTTCGTTCTATACACAAACTACTCTCTATGTAAAAACTTTGCCTCTCTTTCTTTTCTAAATCTCTGTCCCCTCACCTTAAAAATGTGCCCCCTAGTCCTGGTCATTAAGTTATTTAGTTTTTTCCTCATACTTTAAATGTTCATGTTTTTGGCTGGCCAACATTTATTGACAATCCCTCTTTCCCCTTGAGAAGGTGGTGATGAGCTGCTTTCTTGAATTGCTGTAGTGCTTGAGGTGTAGGTATGTCCATAGTGCTGTTAAAGAGGGAGTTCCGGCATTTTGACCCAGCTAGACTGAAGGAATAGTGATATATTTCCAAGTTAGGATGGTGAGTGGCTTGGAGGGGAACATGTATTTAGCTGTTTTCCTATGGATCTGCTATTCTTTTCCTTCTGGATGGTAGAGGTCACGGGTCGAGAAGGTGCTATTGAAGGAGCTTTGGTAAGTAGCTGCAGTGCATCTTGCACATGGTGCACACTGTTGCCATTGTGCATCAGTCATGGAGGGAGTGAATGTTAAAGGTAGTGGACAGGGTATCAAGAGAGCAGGTTGCTTTTTCCTGGATGTTATTGAGTTTGTTGAATGTTGTTGGACTTGCATTTATACAGGAAATATGTAGGGGGTCCTTAGATGCCCCAGGATGTGCATAAGAGAGTTACCATCTTCCTGCCATAGTGTTACAGGCTGTGAGACTGCCAACACTTCCCTGGCATGCATAAAACTGCAGTGGGATCAGTGACAGATCAGGAAGTGCCTGGAAAGACATCCATGGTAGCCTCACATCCAGTGATACACCCAGTCCAGTCCTATGTCACCCCGTCCCCAAAAACATCTAACCATATTCCAGCCTATCCAAGGTGAGGCACAGTGTTCTGCACCATTCAGTTTGTTGTTTTATTTTGCTTTGCAGTCAGCTCTCTGTTTCAGGTATTCCACATCTATGAGAAGCCAACTAGAACCAGAAATAGCATTCTGACTCTGAAAAGACCCAAGTTGGAAAGAACATTCTGAATTTCATTCTTAAAATTAGTTTCCGAATGATGATTTATTGTCAGTTGTATCCTATAATGAACAACATGGTAAAATACAGTGAAAAGCTTCAACTGTTGCCACAATCCAGTACCATTCAAATACTTCAAGAACAAAAAGAATAAAAATACAAAGCTGAAAGAAAGCCCAGCTTTGCTCCACCACGAGTCTCGAAACCCTGAGCCAGCAAACCAACGATAGCCCTGCGGCCACCTGCACTGGACCCACCAACATCAGAGTTGCCAATCTTCAGGTGCTATTTCTTCATTGTTAGGCCCACCCTAATGCTGGTCCCATGCTGGACCCATACTTGCCCTGCAACCAGGAGACCCTGACTCTAAGCCAACCACAACCAGGAGCTACAACCACTGCCATGCCAATAACCAGGAATTCCCATCCCAGGCCTAAACAACCAGGGGTCCTTGGCTGCTGCTTCAGCCACTACCTTGCCAATGCCTGGAGTCTCTGCTCCAGGACCACCACAACCAGGAGTTCCTGGCTCCACCACCAGTCCAGGCCCCTACCTCGCCAAGAGTCCTGCTCTGGCGTCTCCCCTCAATGATGTCACCTCCTCCACCACTGCCAACAGGAAGAAGATGAGGAGAATGGAAAAGAAAGAAGACAAAAAGGGTAGTAAAGAAGGGAGGAAGTGGCAGCGTGGAGCTGACAGACCCAGGAACTCAACGTTGCCTACCTTGCCAGCCCCACCTTCTTGAAGTTTCTAAAATGAGCTTGACCTAATTCCACTAATTGGTTAAAAAAACCTTTAGCATGATTCTGCAGCAGACAGTTCAAGTACTTGTTACCAACTGTATTTGATTTCTGTCTAGATTTACAGTAGATTATTTTGTTTCATATTATGCGACTTAACAGATTTTCAGTTGTCCAATAGTAACATTTGTCAATTTACTAGGTCCTTTTTATCAGTCTGTTGGAAACGTATCAAAGAAATACAATACTGAGTTGACCCCTGCAGGATGGACCTTCTCTATTTGGGGAGTCATTTATACCTGGCAAGCTGTATGGCTTCTCTATGCATGCATTGGATTATGCAGAAGGTAATGTGGTGCTCCAAATAATGTACATACATTCATTCCTGTAATCTGCATGAGTTCTGTTCCTGAGAACCCATGCAAATGATGAAATTCATAAGTGCGGAGCTTGTTAAAAAATATGTTAAAAATGGTTAAAATGGTTTAAAATGTCTTGGATTAGCAATTTTTGCCTGTGGATGTTGATTTCTGTTGTTACTTTTTGGCGTAGATAGGTGAATTCGCGGTTCATTATTTTGCGGATGGAAGGGATTTCCTATATTGTCTCTATTCTGTGTATTAAGATCACTCATTGAATATCATTGAATAATGTTCAGTCTCCACCCAAAAGGGCGCTGCGAAAATAGGTAGATTTGGAACATATGGAACTGTGAAGTCAGGTTAATTAAATCATAATTGTTATTTTATTTCAGCATAAACATATCAACTTTAGTCACCACCTCATGACCTGTGACCTCTACTTTTAGATGAAATGAAAAGAAATAGGAAAGAGGAGGGATACATGACTGAAATTGAACAAAATATTCAACTGAGATTGGAGCTTTCACTTTGCTATCCTGGTCCCACTCCTTCTCTGGTCAGAGTAAATTTAAATGTAACCAGTTACAACTGGTTTATCACTGAAAAAATATTACTCAAAAGCAGATGCAAAGATTATTGACAAACAATTTGGATTATGCAAATATATAAATCTGTCCTTTCTTAAAAAATACTCGTACTCCACTCTGAGGAGAAATAAATAAATGGAAATTCTAGAGTGTTAAGTTTAAAGTACTTTGCAAGAAATTGTTAAATTTATTGTCCTAGATGATGTTCTGATTCTGAAGCTACTCTGTACATACAAACCGCTGGCCCTGGGAGTCTTCCTGGAAGAATTGTAATTGGTTGACAGCAGGATTCCGAGCCTGTGTTACAACAGGATCATCTTGTTTGAGAGTAGATTGAGCTTTCATTGCAACAAGATCTCCGTGTATGATTTAAATCTGAGCTTCCTTAATGCGTTAATGGAAGCTGAAACATCAACCATCTTGCTGTGCATTGTAGTAGATCTGTGATGGTGCTAATAAGATTAGCCAACACTTCCACCGGAAAGGATGGCTGCAAGCTCAGTACAGACAACTCTGCCAAGTTAGTGTCTGATAATGCATCATCACCATGCACAGTTTCTTCTGTGTGCCACTCTATGAAAGTCTTTTGCAGCTGAATCCATATATGACGTCAGCCTCCAGAAAACTGGCACCTACACCACACCACGCTGTGGTGACCATCCTCACCACATAGCGATCCCACCTCTAAGCTCTCCTTTAAGTTACATCCAGTTTAAGGTATTTGAGCTGGTGTGAGAGTGATGCCATTCGTTCGTTTTGCTGCTATTCCACCACTGCCTGGTCAGGTGGCAGTTCTTGGGGTATCTGAAAGAGAAGGGTACAAGAATATGGTTGTGGGAGAGGAGGTAAACCCAGAGGAACCCATTTACAGCCTTCAGATTCTGGTGGAAGTAGTGACTAACGCTATTAGCACCATGACAAATCTAACTATGATGCACAGCAAGATGGTTGATGTTTCTGCTTCCGTTATGGCATTAACAGAAGCCTCACAAACTCCAGGTGATGCTGGGAAGCTCAGATTTAAATGAAAATCTTGGAATCATGGAAATCATGGAAATTTTGTTGCAATGAAAACGTATCTGGAGATTGTAAATTGGAAGTAATTATGGAATGAGGGGTAAGTGGGCCATGGAAAGGGAGTTAGGCATGGTGATTTCATCATCTTTTGATTATTTCAGCTTCATCTCTGGCCACAGCATTGGTGATTGCTGCTCCAAACTTGACCAGCACAGTCTTCTCCTTCAGAGTCATGCTTGTTCTCTGCCAGTTAAGTCCAGACTGTATAATTTCAGAGTACAGGTTAGCCCAGAGATGAGGAGGAATTTCTTCTCACAGACAGTAGTGAATATGTGGATTTTATTTTACTGCAGAGAGCTATTGAGGCTGGGTTGTTCAGTATATTCGAGGCTGAGATAGATATTTAATTAACAAGGGAATTGAGGGTTTTGGGGAAAAGGCAGAAAGTGGAGTTGAGAATTATCAGATTGGCAATGATCTCATTGAATGGCAGAGCAGACTTAATGGGCTGCTTGAGCTACTTCTGCTCCTGCATCTTGTGGTCTTAAATAAAAGTAAAATACGGTGGATGCTGGAAATATGAAATAAAAACAAAAAATTCTGGAGAAACTCTCCAGGCCTGGCATCATCTGTGGAGAGAGAAACAAAAAGAACATCTTACCATTATTCCTTGATGTCTCTTGATAACTGCCAACTTGTCCACAGGAAAGAGGGAGGTTAGTAAGTATAGCACATAAGTTTGAGTGACCTGGTAGCATATGAAATATGGGTGTGAGACTTGAAGCAGTGCTCGGTGTATGTCACCTGAACTCAAGGTATGAATGTTTGTTTGATTGATGGAAATTGGGCTAGTTGAGGGATGGATGTGTGTTACATTGAGTCGAGTGTGAAGTGACAGGTGCAGTTGTCTTTGATGGGACACTAAATAACTTTGATGATTGATCTGAGCTCATTTGTGGCATTGCACTCAGGTCCTTGTGATGAGTATTCTGAGATTAACCAACTTAGCTGTCTGCTCCCATTGCCTTTGAAAAATTTGTCTGATAATATTCCTGGTTCCATTTGAAAAGATGACATCTCTTCCACTTCACAAGTTGTTCAGTGCAGTGTCAGAGAACCTTTGAGCATGATCTCTCCCCCACTGCAATATAATTTGCCTTGCTGCCTGTTCAGACTGCCTTCCACAAGTAGCTGCATTTCCTGAAGAGAAGCGTTGTTAGCTTTGACTTGGGCTTCTTGCTGAGACACAAAACTACTCAGCAAATCATTCAGCTCTGGCTGTACAGACCAATTGTACAAGTTAGTATCAAGTTACTGTGCTGCCTGTATCAGTAAGAATAGACATGGATTAGTTAAGCATCACAATCCCCAAGCCTGCTTTTGGGGGCTGGCCAATTTAGGTACCAAGGATTTAATATCCATCAATTAGATCCCACCATAAATCCTTTAATCTATTTTGAGAATTTATTTAGTTGTCTCTAAGCAACAAAGCTGGAGCAAGGACCAAACAACAACAAAATACCGCAACCTTGTGATTTGTTCAATGATTTATATGGCTGGCAAGCAATTAAATCTGTAACAGGACGTGGTGAGGAGTGACTGCAGCTCAAATCCAGAGTATAATGTACAGTTTTCGTCTCCTTATTTTGTAAAAAAGAGAGATAATTGTGTTGGAAGCAGTTCAAAGAAGGCTTGTGTGTTACGACTCACTGGGATAGCATGCTGGAAATCAAGTCCTGCAATTCCCAAAGTCATCACAAAAGTTAAAGATTTTAAAAAGCGTGCAAAGTTCACCAATTTACCGGATTTTCAGGTAAACCCAAGTTGATAGAAAGGTTTCTGCACAAACCAGAATGACTATTTATTATTTGTAATTAGATTGTAGCTACAGATAAGTAGTTATGAACCATCGACATTTAATACTACTAACTACAACTCCTAAACCCTTTACAAAATTCCCTCTATGCACAAACATTCAGAGTTTGATACATTAGGGGCAGAGGGGATCAAAACTGTAAATTCGGTTCTGTGGTCTTTGTGCCCAGGTCCTATTATTGAGATGATCTTTATGACACTCCTGCTGGCCAGCATATTGTTTTAGTCTTTTCCTCAGATGCTTCCACTGGTTGGTAAGAGACACAGGTGGCTCATTTCCTTATATAAGGTGTCTGATTTATAAATTGAAACTCATAGATACCTTGCAGTTCAGAAAGTGGCCATTTGGCCCATCAAGTCTGCACTGACCCTCCAAAGAGCATCCTACCTAGGCAAAGCCCCACCCTATCTCTGTAACTCCTCATTTCCCATGGCTAACCAACCTAACCTGCACACTGTGGGCAATTTAGCATGGCCAGTCCACCTAATTGGCACATCTTTGGACTGTGGAAGGAAATCAGAACAGACCAGCAGAACATGCAAACTCCACACGGACAATTGACCAAGCCTAGAATTGAACCTGGCGCTATGAGGCAGTAGTGCTAACCACTGTGTGACCATAACTTACAAGAACAATTGCCGGAAAGATAAACTGGTTTATTCAGGCTTACAGTGAGTTTTGATTGTAGAGAGTGAACAGACCATTCATGAACTAGGCAAGAATTGAAAACGTCTCTCTCTTGCTCTCTCTCTCTAAATTATTCCCAGCTCCAAACTGTTCAGTTTCCTGAGACCCAATCACATTGTTGTTGATTGGTAAAAAGATCTCTATCATTGATAACTGGCCACTAGTCCATAGACCAATCAACTTTGTGAAGTCAACAAAAACTGCATTGTACACCCCTGAGCCCTAAATCATCTTCAACTTGACCTCCACCTAACTCTTGTTCAAAGAGTTGTTTACATGATGCCTGCATTGGGTGTCTGATTACTTGCTTTCAAAACCAACAGTCACAGATCAAACATTGATTTTAAAACAACCCAGTCCACTTGTTTCAGTCCACAGTTTTTCCAAACGCTTACTCATGTGATTCATTCCTGCAATTAAGAGTTTATTTCACAAAGAAGGGTTGAACAGGTTGAACCTTTACCTATTGGAAGTATAGAGGAATAAGGTATCATCTTTACTGAGGTCTCTAATATGTTGAGGAACTTGACAGTCTGAAAGGATGTTTCCCCTTGTGATAGAGTCTAGAATGATAATAGTCTAATAATAGTCTACAGTTTAGAATAAGATTCCTTACCTCAGTGAAGATTGGGCTGTTGAATTCATTCAAGGCTGACTTTAATTTCTGTTAGACCAGGATCATGAGGGTCAGGGGATTCAGGCTGGGGGTTCGAGTTAGATGGGAATGTAGAGCGAAGATCACAACTAGATCAACTATAATCTGGTTGAATGGTGGAGCAGGCTTAAACAGCCAAATGACTTACTTCTGCTCCCAAGACCCATGTTCCTAAATTAATTAATCAATTGGGCATTACAGAATAAGGAAATTGTTCAGGTCGCTTCTACAACTGTTAAGAATATAAGGGAATAAAAATAACTGCAGTGGTAAAGTAGATTGGCTGTAAATTTTCAATATTTTCGTTTCCTTATAATCAACTAACATTAAAATCGATTAAATATTAGACAAAAGTCAAGACCATATGCAGTCTACAGCTAAACCAAGAGCAGCAAAGATAACTGGTAAATGTTCATCAATGACACCAGTTACCCATTATTAATTTTTTTTTAGATGGGAATTAAAAGTGAATGAATATGTGTACCAGGGTAATCAAATAGAATTCACTTCCCATCTTAAAGTCATGCATTCTGTTGTCAACTTAGATAATAATTTGATTGTGTGCTAACATGGATAGACACAAAACTTTGAAGTACAATGAACTGCCAGGACGATATTGATAGACTTCAAAAGGTCATGCGCAGGCAGGAAGAGTGGGCAGACAATTGGCAGATGAAGTTTAATGTAGACAAGTATGGAGGATTCAGTTTGACAGAAAGAATGGGGAGAAGTAATTTAAGTAAAGGTTATAACTAAAGGTGGCATGGTGGCACAATGGTTAGCACTGCTGCCACACAGCGCCTGAGACCTGGGTTTGATTCCAGCCTTGGGTGACTCTCTGCATGGAGATTGCATGTTCTCTCTGTGTCTGCATGGGTTTCTGTTGGGTCTCGGGTTTCGTTCGACAGTCCAAAGACAGTGCAGGTTAGGTGGATTCGCCATGCTAAATTGCCCCAGAGTGTCCAGGGATGTGTAGGCTAAGTGGATTAGCCATGGTAAATGTAGGGTTACAGAGATAGGGTGGAGGTCTGGACCCAGGTGGGATGCTCTTCAAAGCGAACTCAGTATTTGCACATACAAAGAGACTAACACCTATTTCAAGCAGGGGCCTCTGATGTGGCAGATTCCAGCTTTCCCTGGAAGCCGTCATAAAATTCAGAATGCTGATTGTTTCTGAACTGTTGATACAATTGGAGAGTATCTTACTTTTTTTTTGCTGCATCTCAAATTACTTTCATTCATATTTTCCTGCGTTTTAAAAAAGCTGATAAACTAGAGGGTAGCATTTTCTGTTCACCATTGGATGAGTTTGATGGAAGGATTTTGTAGTCTTGTGGTTCTGAAGAGCTCAGTATTTATTGGCCGTTTATTTCATTGCATTGGACAACATTTAAAATCTACAACAACTCTTCCATGTTGCCAGTTTATTGTTTGATTATCTTCCTGAGTTATCTATGTTATCTCATTTATCATATACCACAAAGGCTGGGTTCTTTTGAAATAGATATCCTTAGGTTTATTAGCAACACTAACTATTTACACTGTGATGAAATCTCATACTTATACAGTCTGGGTTCAATAATAATTACTGTCTTGTTATATATATGTATGACATGGATACAGATAGCCGAACTACATCAGCCTTTCTATCTCTGTATTTGCAACACAATAGAATTAAACTGTTAAAGACCAATCCCAGACTTTGTGAATAATTAATTCCAGACACCAATTTTATATCTTAAACAAGAAGGCTGAACAATTTATTAAATATATAGTAGCTAAAGCAGAGAAAAATTAAACAACAAGGTAATATCGATGCTTTAAACCAGAAACATTTGTTTCAACCAAACACTGTTAAGGGATAGATAAAGGAAAACAGCAAAACAGCAAAACTGGACAGATTTCTTAAATGGCTCTCATGATGCATTGTATCGCAGTCATAAATGTGGAGTCCTTGGTTGCTTTTCTAGAAACATTGATCAGGGTTACCTTTTCAGTGCACTCAGGTACAAGTGGCGATATTTCTAACTCAGCTTTCTACTCTCGAGGCTTCCAAAGGCTAGTGTGGGAGATTAAGCAGGAAGCATTCAAATCTCCATGCTGTGTGGTCAGCAGTCAAGCTCCACTTCCCATCTCCAACTCTGTTTCTGCCCTGATAAACGGAACGTCTTTTCCCAAGGCCATAATAATGGTTCAATATCTGCCATTGACTTGAATGTAGGGTCTTTTGTTTGATGGTGAGATCAGGCCTAGAGTCTAATTGCAGGCTGAGTCACAATTAAAAGGGTTCGTTCATATACAGCGACCCTGGGAGGAGCATTGTGTTCAAACAGATCATGGAAGTTGGCTATTAATGAGGTCAGTACCTGGGAATTGTTTTGTCAAGTCTGGGAGACCAGACCCATCTGCCTAATCTACATGTCCCTGAACACTGTGGTCAATATAACATGGCCAATCCACCTAGCCTGCACATCTTTGGACTGTGGGAGGAAACCAGAGCACCCAAAGGAAGCCCACGCAGACACGGGGAGAATGTACAAACTCCACACTGACAGTCGCCCGAGGGTGGACTCAAACCCAGGTCCCTGGCGCTGTGAAGCAGCAGTGCTAACCACTGAGCCACCATACTTGATGAGCCAAATGGTCTCCATCTGCACTGTAGGGATTCTACAATTCTGACTGGGGACTTGAGCAGGGTCAGAGGGCAAATGTGAAAAATCAGTGAAAGTGGCAGGTTGAGCAACTTTAAAAAAACATGGGATACTGAGCTCCATTAATAAGGGTACCAAATACAAAGCAAGGAGGTTAGGATAGTCTTATGGTGGATGCATAAGGTGCTGCCTAAACATAATTTATTCCTTAGTATATTTTGATTTTGCCTGTTCTACAAACTAAAGCACTATTGTTATTAACCTGTTTTATCTTGATATTTATTCACACAGGAGTGCCCTTACATGGATGCCTTCCATACTGTCCTGCCCTTTTTACGTTGTTTGGATTACAAACAATCTTTTGAACATAAGTTGGATTTTTCTTTGGGATAGAGAGTAAGTGATGGAAAGCTACTTCAATCACAATCAGTAAGATTGCCGTGATTATTCTTGTAGAAAATGCTGTTGCTTGGAATATGGCAGAGTTTGTTAATATTGTGCCACAATGGAAGAATTTACATAGTTACTTTCTTCCTCAGGAAATAACAATTCCCACTTTTAGTGAGGAGATTTGTACAGCAAAATGTTGCCATCTATCAAAAGGTTTCCAGTTGGGAGGGAAGTGTAATCTAAAATGGAACGTAGATCAACAGATTATTTGGGTTAAATGGTGATTGTGTTACATGACAATGGAAGGTAATACAGTGCTGTCTCTGTCAAGTTATGCATGTGGAAAGCTTGATAGTAAAATGAATTAATTTACTTGCTTTCCTGTAAAGCAATAGAGACTCGTTCGAACAGGGCCATCATTAAGTACATGTGGGTTTCTTGGAAAGCTGAGGCTTTCTTTTCCCCCCAAATACCACCACTGGGGAAAGCAGGAGAAATCCATGGAAAATTCAATTTAATACTATTGGGACCTACCTGTTGTGTTACTCCAGTTGTGTTACTCGTAGACCATACCAAGAATGGGCATAAGGTTTTAATTACTCCATTCCCCACCCAAATCAAAAATGGCCCTAAATTTGTTTGGTTGCAATATGGAGGTTAACTTCTGTCCAGTCTTCTCTTACAGCACTTCGTCATAGTCACCAATTTTAGATGGTCAGTGAGTTATTATACTCACTGATGCTAATAATATGTATTACCTTGCAGAGTAGATTAAAACTCAATGGGCTAACTGTATGTTTGTTGATCTCATTACGGTGGAGAACCATGCCTCTAGGAATTGCCGTGCATGTCTATGTTTGGTTTGGGCTACTATGGTTACGTTGTCCCAGTTAAACAGACAGGACTGTTTTGTCTGGACAGACAGGAAGGAAACTAGCCATCAGAATACGCAAACATCAGCTAGCAGCAAAATGACATGACAAACTTTCCCTGACGTCAATGCACTCGATCAATGAAGGCCATCAGTTTAACTGGGACAATGTAACCATAGTAGCCCAAGGCAAACATAGACACGCACAGGAATTCCGAGAGGCATGGTTCTCCACCCATAATGCAATAAACAAACATGTAGAATTGGACCCTGTATGCAAACCCATTCAGAACAGAACCGGAAATGACACTACTCACCGTAACAAACTGGACAGTATAAATTCCAAGCGGAGTACAACAACATCGCTTCATCGGAGGCCTCACTGATGATGTTACCTAGCATGGTGATGAAACGTCTAAATGAAAACAAGCCAGCTCAGCGAGCAAGTCAACAACCTCACCCACAACCCGAGCTACAAATCTTTGCAAAAACCTTGATGCCTTTTCTAGTCCTTAGAGGTCCAACCATAAAAATGTATCAATCCTTTCTTATCTTTGATGTCCACCTGTTTGACTCTATATGAACCTGTATTGTTTTTTACACAGCTCTCTCTATTGAAACTATAAGCGCTTCCATCAATATAGCATTTCTGGCTGATTCTGTTTCTCCACTGAATGTTGATATGGTAATAACATACTCTTATTAATATACAATTCAATCAGCAAGTTCAGATTAAGAGTTAAACACGATTTCAAAATCTCTTCTACTTCCTGGTCAGTCGAATGCTGTGCAGTTTCCCTCACACTGGCTTCTTATTCTTAACCTTCTTGTTTTTCAATAATTGCTGGATTTGCACATTAATTTGCTATTAAATTCACTGCAGAATTGTACAGTTTATCATGTAAGGTGCTCTGTGAATGACATCATATTTAATACAATTCCGATCAAACTCTTTAGCTCAAACTGGGAACAATTGACATTGTTCAATGCCATTGGTGTGTATGGACAGTTGCTGGAGATTTAAGAGTATAACATTTCAAATTTCAAACTTAATTTTCCTTGCCTCCCCCTCTCTCGAATCCAGTCTTCACTTTATTTCTCTTCCTGTATGAGATTTGAATTAAACCTGTTCTTTTTTTCCTTCCTCAATCATTCACTCTCATGTATGAGATCCTAATTCTTCATTGCCCTCATAACACTGCGACTACTTCGAACCTCTGAAAAAAATTACTATCTGAAAGGCGCTGGCAAAAGTTTAGGACATGGGGTGTACCAATGAGATATTTGATTTGATTTATTATTGTCCCATGTAATGAGATACAATGAAAAGTATTGTTCTGAGTGGTATCCAAGCAAATCGTAGCTTACAAAGGTACATAGGGTAATAGAACAGAATGCAGAATATAGCGTTACAGATACAGAAAAGGTGCAGAGAAGGATCAACTGTAGTATATGAGAGATCCATTCAAAAGTCTCATAACAGCAGGGAAGAAGCTGTTCTTGAAATCTGTTGTTACATGTTTTCAAACTTTTGTATCTTCTGCCAGACAAAAGAGGGTAGAAGAGAGCCTAACCAAGGTGGAAGGAGTCTTTGATCATGCGGGGAGTCCACTGCAGCAAGGACTAGCTCAGTTTTTGCAGTCAAATTTTCAAGTTGCAATCAGTGCTATTAAATCTGTGATAAATTGGAAACAGAAAGTGCTGGAAGTATTCAGAAGGTCTGGCAGTGTGTGCAGAAAATTAGAGACAGCGTTGACATTTTGAGTCAAATCTGGCTCTTTTTCAGAACTCTTAACTCCATTGCTTCTATTAACAGTTTGAATATCCCCATTTTATTCCTGCAGACTTGACATTCCAATACATTGAACTTTGTTGCACTATTGCCTTGATTTGTTTTGATTTTGTTTTGTTCTCATTATGTTCTTATCGTAGTGCTCTTAGCTCTGAATCAGAAGGCTGTGGGTTGAAAGTTTACATAAATACAAGCTGACACTTCAGTACACTGAAAAATTATATCTTTCAGATGAGACGTAGATGGAGACCACCAAGGAAACACTTAATGCTGGGGAATGGGTTGATTCAAGTCGATAATGTCACAGGAAGTTTTAGACATAATAGTTTTATCAGTGAAGTGATGCACGGTGTCATCAACAGTGGTTCAAACTGGGGCCGCTCAGCTACTGATCTCATTACAGTCTTGGTTCAAGTATGGACAGAAGAGTTAAATTCCAGAGGTGAGGTGAGAGTGACAGCTCTTGATAGCAAGGCTACAATCGACCAAGTCTAGTATCAAGAAACCCTAGCAAATCAATGGATATCAGGGGTCAAACTCTCCGCTGGTTGCAGTCATGCCTGGCACATAGCAAAGTGGTTCTGATGGTTGGAGGTCAGTCATCTCAGCTACAGAACATCTTTGTACGAGTTCCTCAGTGCAGTATCCCCAGCTGCTCATCAATGACCTTCTCTCCGTCATAAGGTCAGAAATGGGGATGTTCACTGATTATTGCACATTGTTCAGCGCCATTTCTGACTGCTCATATACTGAAGTAGTCCATGTACAAATGCAACAAGATCTGGACAATTTACAGACTTGGGCTGACAAGTAGCAAGTAACATTCATGTCTCAAAAATGCGAGGCTATTCCATCACCAATAAGAAACAATCTAACCACCACCCCAGACATTCAATAGTGTTACCATCACTGAAATCCTCACTATCAACATCCTTGGGGTTACCATTGTCCAGAAACTCAACTGGACTCCCCAAGTAAACAAAGTGGCTACAATAGCAGTTCAGACGCTTGGGATACTGTGGTGAGTAACACATTTCCTGACTCTCCAAAGTCTATCCATCATCTACAAAGCACAAAGTGCGACAGAATACTCCCCACTTGCCTGGATGGATGCTGTTCCAACAACATTCAAGAAGCTTCACACCAACCAGGACTAATCAGCCCACTTGATTGACACCACATCCTCAAACATTCACTCTCTCCACCACCGACGCTCAGTAGCAGCAGTGTGTTACTATCTACAAAGTGCACTGCAGAAATTCACCCAAGATCCTCAGACAGCATCTTCCAAACCCACAACCAGTTCCGTCTAGAAGAACAAGGGGAGCCAATACATGGGAACACCACCAACTGCAAGTTCCCCTCCAAGCCACTCATCATCCTGACTTAGAAATATATCACCATTCCTTCATTGTCACTGGACCAAAATCCTAGAATTCCCTCCCAAGCAACATTATGGATCAACCCACAGCAGGTGGATTGCAGCAGATAAAGAAGGCAGCTCACCACCACCTTCTCATGGGTAACTAGGGACAGGTGGTAAACACTAGCCAACGAGCAAAACCCATTTCCCACAATGAATAAACAAAAAGGTCTAAGTCATAGCCAACTCAAAACATTAACTTTGTTTTTCTCTTTGACAATACTACCAGATCTGCTGAGTATTTCCATCACTGTTTTTAATTTATTATTGGTTTAAAAGAACAGATGAAAACATGATTGCATAAATTGAGCCAGGCGTTGAAGAAATTGAGGATCCATAGCACGCATTTTGTATCAGTTCTCAAAGGGAGAAATAAATACCTCTATGTTTTCTGCCTGCCAGCTTCTTTAAATCTGTCTTCTCTGGTTACCAACCCGCTTGCTAATGGAAACAGTTTTGTCCTATATACTGTACTGACCCCGTGAAAATTTTGAACATCTTTATGAAATCAGTTTTTGTCTGTCTTAGTGCAGGGAAGGTTAATCCCAACTTTAGTCTTTCCACATGACTGAGGCTACTCATTGCTCGTGATATTCTAATTAGTCTCTTCCACAGGCTTCAAAAATTGAGGTATTCTTCATAAAGTGTGGTTCCCAGAACTCAACTCAGTACTTGGAGTCTAACTTTGGAAGCAATAGTGGGGAACTTGTGGGATCATGTGCCAGGACAGGGCAGAGTCTTTAGAAAATAATGTAAAACACTTGAACAACTAATTAAGAGCAAACTACTAATTTTCTTGTCTGAGATTCATTTTTTAAAGGAAAAGAACAGATTATTGTAGGTCTTTTTCACATACGGTTTTAACTGTTATCCCAATCCCAATGCAATGAGTTTGAACTCTAAGCAACATAGTCTTCATAGCAGAAGATTTGTGTTCAAACATATTGAGGAGATAGACCTAATTCTTCTTCCTTTTCATAAGAAATGAAGCAGGAAAATTGGAACCCATTTGTGTAAGAAACAAACGTAATATTAAGTGTAGCGGTATCTCTATGTAAACAAACAGGATGAATATGTACCTAGTTCTAAAAAATGACGCGTCAACTATGTGGATTTTAATTCTAAGTGAGTTCCATTTTCATCAGTTGCTGTCCATACTCAGTGTTTGACCCGAATTTCCATTTATTTCAGGTACATTATTCCTGCACTCGCTTTCCTTGCTTTGATTGCTTTCACCAGTTATGTGGCTTTATTCTTTACCTATCGTGCCCTACATACTCAGCTCCCATGGATGCAAAAGTACCGAAAGATTGATATGTGGCTTGTCAGAATACTGGTATGTGTTTTTGGAACATCAGTTTAACAAAAACAAGGTTTATAAGGTGGAATGGAAAAGTACTTTTTATTAGTTTAATATATCTACAGGAAAAATAACAGGATCCGCTGAGTGCTGAAGAAGAGTTCTGCAGTACTTGAAATATGAACTATTTCTCTCTTCACAGATTCTGCCAGACCTACTGAGTTTCTCCAACAAAACAAACAGACATTGCTGGAAAAGTTCAGCAGGTCTGGTAGCATTTGTGGAGAGAAATCAGAGTTAACGTTTTGGGTCCAGTGACCCTTCCTCAGAACTGATGGTAACTAGGAAAAAGTTGGTTTTTATGCAGAAGGTAGGGTGGGGATGTGGGTAAGGAGTAAACGATAGGTGGAGATTGAGCCCAAAGAGAGAGCAAAACAGTTGAACAGACAAAGGAATGTATAACGATCAGCCTAGGAGAATGAATATCTACTGATGGGATGTATTAGTGGCTAAGAATGGGTTGTGTGGACAAGGGAGAAGGCGCCTCAAGCCCTAAAATTGTTGAACTTGATATTGAGTCCAGAAGGCTGTAGAATTCCCAAATAGAAAATGAGATGCCTTTCTTCCAGTTTGCACAGAGCTTCACTGGAGCACTGCGGCAAGCCTGAATCAAAGAAGTTGGCTAGAGAACAAAGTGGTGTATTGGGGTAGGAGGCAACTGGAAGTTCAGGTCTTTTTCATACAGAACATAGGTGTTCTGCAAAGGGATCACCCAGTCTATGATTCGTTTTCCCAATGTAGAGGAGACCACATTGGGAGCAGCAAATGCAGTAGACTAGGTTGAGTAAAGTGCAGGTAAAGCGCTACTTCATCTGGAAGGTATGTTTGGGTCCTTGTATACTGAGGAGGGAGGAAGTAAACGGGCAGTTGTTACATCTTCTGTGGTTGCAGGGTAAGGTGCCGTGTGGCTGGGGGATGTTTTTGCAAGTTAAGCAGGAGTGGACCAGAGTGTCCCGAAGGGAATGGTTCTTACAGAAGGCTGACAAAGGAGGGGAGGGAAATATGTGTCAGGTGGTGGCAGCGAATGAATTGGCAGCTAATGGGTTTCTCCAACACTTTTGGTGTTTTTAAGGGTCAGTTCTTGACTGTTACCACCCAAAGAATAATTATCCCTGGATGTTAAACTCAGCAAAGTTAGACAGAGGCCCTTTTTGCTTTTTGTTACAATGCTTAGGAGCTTCCAGTAATGGAGTGTAGATGGAAGATGGGGCAGGGGGAGAGCAGCCCAACAGCTGAGTGAGTGGTAAGGCAGGGAATAGTATATCAGTAAGATGGGAGTGCCATCATTATAGCCCTTGGCTCATTGTCCGTGGGTGTGTTGCAAATGCAAAGCATCATTGGAAAACTTGAGTTTCTGGGTAAAAGTTTTGGTGGTCAGCATTCTTTTTAGTGCATAGCGTTAGCGGGATGAGTGTCAGAAGTCCTTTGCAGAAGAGTTATGAAGTAAAATTTCAACTCAACCACATAAAGGAGATATTATGTCTATAAATATCTAAGAACCTGATCAAGGAGGTGAGTTTTATAGAGACTACGAAAGGAGCAATGAGAGACAGCAAGCTGGAATGGTATATGGAGGGAATTCCCAAGCTTGGAGGGCCCTAGGCAACTGGAAGCACAGCTACCAGCAGTGGAAAGATTAAAATTGAGGATGCTCAAGAGGTTGGAGTTAGGGAAGGTTTCTGTGGCTGGAGGAAGTTACAGGGTGAGAATAGTGGTGAGGCCATTTACTGCTTAAATGGGACCCCTTTAAGGAACAGAGAGCACAGACATAATGGTTGAATGGGACTTGGTGGGAGTCAGGACCTAAGCAGCAGAGTTTTGGATGAACCTCATGTCCACAGAGATCCCACTACTGGCGACCAGAGTCAGGGAGGTCACAGAGGGATCATCTGCTCTATTTATTACTGGGAGAGGTCTAAACACTCAGGTGCCCACGTAACCCATTTTTATAATATTTGGGTATCACTGGCTAAGCCAGTATTTGTTTCCTATCCCTAATTGCCTTTGACTGAGTAACTCATTAGACTACTTCAGGGGACACAGCTACATTTTTGTAAATCTGGAGCCACATGTAGGCTAAACCAGATGAGTTTTACAACCATGGAATAATGGTTTCACCAATATTAAGAGTAGCTTTATACAAGATTTTATTACTTGAATTCAAATGCCACAAGCTGATATGATGGGATGCAAACTCATGTCTCTGAGCCTCTAGATGACTAATCCAGTGACATTAGCCACACCACTGTGGATCTGGTGTTTCCACTGTACCTTAAATAACACCACCAATCCCACACCACCCCTGGAAAGCTGTAAAATATGCAAATGTATTTCTTAAGAGGACTGGAGGTAAAACATTTTTAAAATAAAAATGAAGGAATTTTCAGAGTTCCCCCCAACTTAAGAAACCAATGGCTTTTTGTCATTGGCTGTAGTGCCCTCTGGAGATGCTTGATCTTCACAGGGACTGATGTTTCTAGAATTCCCAACCTAGTTCCCAGACTTTTCACTACAGGAATTACATCAGAACCAGAGGATTATTTACATGATTGAGGCAGTGTTTGGAATAATGTTAGAATCTATGAGATATTATGTGATTCAGTATTGGAGAGGTGCTGGGAACAATAAATGAGGAATAATTACCTAAAATGTTGAACAAACATTAAAATATCAAGCTTGGAGCTTGTGCTATATGCCTTAGGGTAATTAGGACACAGTGAAAGAAATTCATGGTTAATTTCTAAAGAAAATGACCCACAAAGGTATTGAATTGAAACATTTTTATATGTCAATGTTCAACATGTAAAAGGAAACTCAAAGCAGTAGTTAAGATAGTGTAAGTTAGTCTTGACAGACACTTAGAACTGGATTTTAGCCTGAAGGTGGCTAAGGGGCTTGGAAACACTGTTGCAAATTCAGGAAACCTGAAAAATCCAATCGCAACATTTAAAAAGCATCTGAATGGGTGTGTGAATAGGAAGGGATTAGAGACATATGGGCCAATAGCTGGCAAATGGGACTAGGTCAGATTGGGATGTCTTGTCGGTTTGGATGTATTAGACCGAAGGGTCTGTTTCCATGCTGTATAACTCTGTGACTCATTTCCAGAATATGTTGTAGATTTAATTGCAAAGTGGCTTTGAATTCCTCTCGTAAGGGGCTCCCACCAACAGCCTGACTTCTTTAAAAAGAGAAGGTGCTTTGATGGAATTCATTCAACCTACTAATATCACAGAATAAGATTCTACTTTTCCAGTTCAGCTGATCTTCTGAAAAAGCAGCCGTGACAAGTATTTGTTACCATGAGGATTTAATTGTTTTACTGAGACTGCCTCCTTTCTATGAATGCCTGTTTTCTAGATACAGAATGGAGTGGCTGTTTATGCGACATGGACAACCATAGCAACACTGATCAACTTTGCTGTCGTACTAACTTATAGTGGATGTATCTCAAATGTGACCTCTGGTACAGTTTCACTCTCCATCCTGGCCTTTGAGGTCATTTTATGGTATGCACAGTTATGATTTTAATCAATTTTCACCATCTGGTGTTAAAATTTTCATTGCTGGAAATCTCTGTTCTTGTAGGTGGAAGTACCATGCTACTAACTCTGGTCCTTAGAAAGCAGGAAGACCTAAGATTCCTTTTCAACTGCTCTCAGTTATGATGCCACAATTAATTTCAGTGCCTTCCTCTTCAGGGAAGAGGAGGAACAAGCTGGGGTTCCAATAATAATTTTAACGTTGATGTTTAAGAAGTTTCAAAGTTTGGGCTTTTAACCAATTAGGCAAGTACTCCTGACAGCCCAGCTATGAATAGTTTTCAGTCGTATTCTGACTTAAAATTTCACAACCTTTGCTGATTCAGAATACTTCAAGGGACTTGCTGGTGTCAAGATCCATTAAGCATAAAAGAAGCCTATGTGCTTTGCGCCTTCTCCATTGTTGGATTTAACCACTTCTTGAAAGATACCATGCATTTTGCACCTATCAGAGGTTCATTCCACATTGCTGGTCACTCTCTAAATTCAGAAGATGCCCCTGATAAGATGCTAAGATTACCTTTTATGAGTTTTGAACCTTCAGCTAAAAAACCCTCCGTTTGATTTAAAGTAAGATTGCAGAGTTAACTTTGTCCATATCATTTATTGTTTTAGATACATCACAATTAGTCTTTGAAACTTTAGTGAATACAAGCCTAGCCTGTCCAACATTTACTTGTAAGATAATCTACCCCTATTCCAGCTACTGGTCTGGTAAATCTTCTCTGAGCTGCTTCAATACTTTAACATCTTTCCATAAATAGGACATTAATACCGTGCTCAATATTTCAGATGTGGGGTCTCATCAATGTCCTGCATGATTAAAGTGTAACCTCTCTACTTTTGTATTCAAGTCTTTCCATGATGAATGATAATTTTCTATTAGCTTTTTTTAAAATATTTGCTGAACCTGCATTCCAAGTGCATTGATTCACTAGGACGCTCAGATCTGACTGCATCTCAGAGCTCTGCAATCTCGCACCATTTAGATAGTAGGTTTTTATTTTAATCTTTCTGTGAAAATGGTCAATTTCCCATATTGTACTCCAAATCTTTTCCATTCTTTTAACTTGTCTGTGAGTGGTACCTTATGGGAATCTGAGCAATATGGGCTATAGTGCCACAAGTGGTAGAATCAGGAGAGAAGCCTGTCGAAACACATCTTGGCATTAGGACCATCTCGCCCCCATCTCATATACTTTACACAAGCAGCATGGTGAGTAATGCTTGTTAAGGTCCTTGTTGATTGCCTAAATATCTTCATTAATACACAAGCTGCAATTTTACAAAACTCATCCAACGTGCCACCAGGAAAACCCCACATGGAAATGAAAGTGGGTTCTTGATGGATTCTGCCCACCACCTCCTCTAAATGATCTCCAACTTGCCCACAGCCAAACTGCACAGCAGGGGACAATCCATGAGCACTAGACACATGCACCCTTCTACTGATGATATTGGCACCCATCTTTCAGCAGCCACTGTCACCATCCTAACATAGCTCCAGTGCTGGCACTGCACCCTACAATCCCAGACTTGACTAGTAAGGCTCACCAGCAACCAGTAGTGTACCATACAACTGCATAGACAGATAAATTATCTATTTTTACTTTGCCCACAGGTTCTATTTGGAAAATGTTGTGCTTGATCAATATGTGCGTTACACACTTACTGTCTATCCAGTTGTTATTGTGGCATTATCAGGATCTTTAGACAAAAATTACAATGCCATATCTCCAACCAGAAACAACATCTATATTGGTAAGTATCACAGACAAAATAATTCTTGGTAATATAGCAATAACTTCCATTTCCTTCTGAACACTATTTTCAGAGAACTAGTTAAATATATATGCTTAAATTGATGTCTGCAATTTCATGGCATTGACTTGTTGATTAAAAAGTGAAAATTTGTGCTCCTGGGAGCTTATCCAAGCCATAATATCCAAAGGTCCAGAAAATGAATGTGCAGAAGAAATCAGAAATTGTCTTGTCCACAGTGCCTGTGAGTCATTCACAGCGGCAGTAGCTGAAATGGAACAAATACCCAATATCCTTCCCCAGAGTGATGTGTGAGATATTGCCCAAAGTTATTGAGAAAATTATATAACTTGAGAAAGTTACTGAGGAAGTTATTTAGTAACTAATTTCTTGGTGGAAATACTTCTCTCCGGAAATGTTATATCCAGTGTTGAGCATAAGACAAGTTTGAAGTTGTCTTTATCTCCACTGCAACAGACAGAAATATTTGGTGACCTTCTTTGAAGCATTACTTCATAGCACTGACCTGTCATCAACTGGACATGGCTGTAAATGCAAAGCCAATTTTGGGTCTTGACCACTTTTGTTTGTGTAAGGCATGGTTGAAACCAGTGAAGGATTGTATACAGTTTTGAAATGGTACATTTGGAAGGCGCAGGAATCCCCAGGTAAGGTTTGTGACAGAAGAAATGTGAACAAAATTGAGAGGGACTGTCAACTGGGCTGTTTCTTCCACCTTTAGAGGAAGTGAGTTGGAGAAAGGAGAAAGGGAAACAGTATACATTACCTGGTGTATCAATATCCATGAAGTTAGCACCAATGCTGTTACTGGAGTGTTATATTTAACCCCAAATATGTTGCATGCACTTCAGCATACATCCTGTCAGCTCTTCAGCAATGAAAACACTTATCCAACTATCTTCTAGTACCATTATAAGTAATTATTCCATGTTTCTACTTCCAAGACTGTACTTCCTTTGAAGCAAAATTGCATTGTCTTTAAAGCAATGCTCCCACTGCAGATTTTGCACCACTTTGTCAAGTGTCAGGCTCTGAGGAAATATTTATGTCTTACCTGTGAGGGCAGCAGTGTTCTAATACATGAACTGTTTTGTGAGCTGATGCTTCAATAGAATAAGTAGTAACACTGGCAAATGGAGAGGATTATAAAATTCTTGAACTAATTTTAATGGGAGTCACAAGGATATGAATAGTACACCGCTAAACAGGTGAATAACATAATTCAGGATCCATCAACAACAAACAAAATTCACAAACTGACCTCTTTCCATTCAATTTTGTTCTCATTTTATAAATATCCCACAGAAACTGAATTGTACCAGACCATTTTGTGTTTACCTTTTAAACCAAAGATCAACTGGCCTCTTTTATCCAGCTCGCTGTCTTAAACTGAATTCAAAGTTTTACACATCCACATAACTACATTTACACCCTCAAAGCTGAATCATCTACACTGTCCTCTCTTACCTCTAATTTCTTTACTTAAACGCAGAGTAAAAACAACTGATCTCTTTTGCCCAAGCATTCTGTCGCAAATGTAACCACATAAATTGTTATCACTTACATCCAGCTCTCAGTTCTAATACAACTAGGATCTGAATTAAAAGCTGGTTTAATCGCAACTATATAACCACTGTTAACTGATGTAAACATTTTTTCCATTTATGACCTTTAGGGCAGGAAATCTGCTGTCCTTACCAGGTTTGGCCTACATGTGACATCAGATCCACAGTGTTGGAGTTGACTGTTAACTGTCTTCTGAAATGGCCTCAGAAGGTACACAGTTCAAGGGCAATAGAGATGGGTGACAAATGCCAGCCGTGCCAGTGATGTCGACATCCTGTATACGAATAAGGAAAAGGAGAATAAAGGGTTCAGTGTCCCTGAATGATACTCACAACACCCAGTCCTGCTAGTCATATGCAATCTCTGTTCACACCTGGAGCACTGATTGGGCATCCAGAGGACAAGATGTAACTTCTGACGTATTCTGCAGTGAAGGACCAAGGAAAGATTAGCTTTCCTTATGACACCTCTGTATACATGTTCAGACGCTATAATGATAAAGGGATTGGTTAATCCCTCATGTCCCTATTAACAGTTTCAAAATGGCATTTGTGACTGTTATAGGACTTCTAGGGAGGCCTACCATTCCACGACTTGGGTTGAGAGCATCACCGAAGTACACCTTCACATTGTTTCAGGGATTCTTAGAATCCCTACAGTGTGGAAACAGGCCCTTTGCCCCAATAAATCCACACTAATCCTCAGAGCATCCCACCCAGATCCATCCCCCTATAGCTTATCTAATCCACATATCCCTGAACACAATGGGCAATTTAGCATGGCCAATCCTCCTAGCCTGTACATCTTTGGACCGGAGCACCCAGAGGAAAACCACACAGACATGTGCAAACTCCACATAGCCAGTTGCCCGAGGGTGGAATCGAACCCGGGTCCTTGGCACTGTGAGGCAGCAGTGCTAACTACTGAGCCACCATGCCGCCCCGTGGATCTTGCTCCCCCTGACCTTATGATAGTCCCTTGAAATCAGAAGAGGTTTCCTTGATGTGGTCAAGTGTCTTAGTAGAGCTATTTGGATCTTTGGCATGCTTTATGACCTGCTATAATTACAGGCCTCCTGTCTTTTTAGTGCCCATATCCATTAGGCTGAATGGTCTCTTTGTGTGCCATAAGTTTTCTATGATAGTGGACATAAGATACTTCTATTAAACTCTGTTTAACATATCAACATACAAATCAAGAATAAGAGTAAGCCATTCAGCCACTCAAACCTGTTTCACCATTCAGTAAAATCATGGATGATCTGAGCGTAACCTCAAATTCACATTCCTGCTTACCCTGATAACCTTTTACCCCCTCAACAAAAATCAATTCATCATACGATCATAGAAGCCCTACAGTGCAGATAGAGGCCATTTGGCCCATTGAGTCTACATCTATCTTCCGAAGAGCATCCCACCCTATCCCTGAAACCCCACATTAACCATGGTTAAACCTGCTAGCCTGCATATTGTTGAACACCATAGGTCAATTTAGCATGACCAATCCAGCTAACCTACACATCATTTATCTCTGCTTAAAAATATTCAAGGACTCTGCTTTCAAGGCCTTTTCAGGAAGAGAGTTCCAAGGGCTCATGATCCTCTGAGAAAAAAATCCCTCATCTCTGTTTTGAATGGTGACACCTCATTTTTAAACAGTGACCCCTAGTTTTAGATTGTCCTGTAGGAGGAAATATCCTGTCCACATCCATCCTGTTAAGACCCCTCTGGTTCATATATGTTTCAATAAAGTCACCTCTCATTCTTTTAAACTCTAGCGAGTACAAGCCTATCTTGTCCAGCCTGTCTCATTAGACAACTCACTCATTCCAGGTATTAATATTGCAAACCTTCTCTGAACTGTCTCTAATGCATTTAAATCCCTCCTTAAATAAGGCAACCAATACTGTGCATTGTACTCCAGATTCAGTTTCACCAGCGCCCTGTAGTATTGAAGCATAACCTCCTTAATTTTGCATTCAGTTGTCTTCATGATAAACAACAGCATTCTATTAGCTTGCCTAAAGCCTTGCTGTATTTGTAGAGCAGCCATTTGTGAATCATGCAGTGTGCACTCAGATCCCTCTGCGTCTCAGAGCCTTGCAATCTTTCACTAGTTAGAAGACAAGCTTCTTTATTTTTCCTGCCAAAAAAAACTTCCATGTTTTCCTACGCATTATACTCTATTTTCCATATCTTTGCCCACTCAACTTTTTGTAACGTCTTTCTGTCCTCTTCACAACTTACTTTCCTTTCCATCTTGTGTCATCAGCAAAATTGGTAACTGTACCTTCTGTCCCTTTATCTGAGTAATTGTATAAATTATGAAAAGTCGAGATCCCAACACGGTTGCCTTTAGCACGCCACTCATTACATCTTGCCAATAGCAAAAATAATCATTTATACCTACTCTGTGTTTCTTGTTAGCCAGCCAATCTTCTATCTATTCAAAGGCAAAACACTGCCGATGCTGGAAAAGTGAGATAAATACAGAAAATACTGAAGAAACTCAACAGGTCTGGCAACATCTGTGGAGAGAGAAACCCAGTTAAAATTTTGAGTGTAGTTTGACCCTTCTTTTGAAGTTCTGAGGAGGAGTTACCTTGGACTCAAAATGTTAATTCTATCCCTCTCACTAACAATCTTGTTGAGTTTCTCTAGCATTCTCTATTTATTTCAATCTTCTACCCATGTCAGTTTAAGTAGTTGTTTGGCACAGATAAACTGGCTATCACTATTTTTGAATCCCTGAATCCATGTGTTCCCACAAAGATTAAGCTGGCAACCATATTCGTGGCCAATCAAACTTCATGTATTATGATTTATGTACCAATTCATAGCATGACAGATGTAAATATGGTCATGATATGTAGCCAAATATTGATCAGTTCCATCTATCACTTCAAGTATTTCAGTCCATATTACAGTGGTAGTATTCATACCTCTGAGCCAGGAGGCTTGGGTTCAAGTCCCACCTGCTCCAGTAGTTATAAAATCATCTCTGAACAGGTTGATTGAAATTATCTATAAATTATGGCACTTCTGCTCATCCCAGCTACAGATGTTTTAGGCCAAATGAGATTGCAATATTGAGACCTACATGTCTACCAGAGTGTTTTGATTCCTTCTCAAAAATATTCAAAAAGGATTTAAATGAGGTCAAGTAAGTTCGTGAGACAACAAGGTGCAGAGCTGGATGAACACAGCAGGCCAAGCAGCATCATAGGAGCAGGAAGGCTGACGTTTCGGGCCTAGACCCTTCATCAGAAAAGGGTCTAGGCCTGAAACGTCAGCCT